AGAGAGAGAGAGAGAGAGAGAGAGAGAGAGAGAGAGAGAGAGAGAGAGAGAGAGAGAGAGAGAGAGAGAGAGAGAGAGAGAGAGAGAGAGAGACCTTTTAAAATTTTTCGTTGACTACCCCTGACTACCCAGTATACTGCCGTGGGGCTCGCGCCAGTCACTAAATTAGAAGGAAGTGCTTCGACCTGTTTTACCGAATGCGGAAGTTGGTTGGGCATAGCCGCTGAATAAGCGCTATCTCCCACAAAATTGTGGCAAGTGAAAACGCAAATTAGCTTGTCACGCTGGGAAACCACGAGCCACAGAAACTGCTGAGCAAAAAAAACTTCATGTCAAGCCATGTGTTCAACCCAAAAAGTCAGAACTCTAAAAACAAAGGAATTGGCCTAACTGTTCTAATAATTTTGGAGGGGAGCATGTCTAAAATAGAGGTGGTATGCACCTGTAGGGCTAGCTTTCATTTAAGAATGAGGTTGAAGTTGACTGGAAAGACTTCATCCATATTAGAACAAATGGATGTGGACACTGATGCTAATTGATTTTACCTCATGGAGAAGCTGAGACTCACCGTTTCAGTCCCTCCATCCTTTTTTGCCGCTCCTGCTTCACAGCGTTTGTGGGAAAACGTTCTCTGTGGTAAAAAAAAGGATGAAGATCAATCAATCAATGATCTGTCTAAATTAAAATGTGTTCTGAAGACATCATTTCTTAAGACGGGAGTTGGATCCTAAATGTATACTGCATCAAATAATGTCAGATCCTATCAAGTTGTCAGAGCAAAATCAACTACTGTACTATGAACAATATCTTTAATCCCAGTTTCTGTTCTGTCTGCCATTACATGGATTCTGAATACTCGAACGGACCTGAGATAAAATACCAGGGAGAGGGGGCAGGGAGCAAAATGGGCTGTGATTATTGTCCTGGAACAGATTGAACAGGCTAAGAAAGAGGAATGTGAACTGAATTGCGTTTCAGCAGACGAGCCTTAGTGTATTTCTCGAGAAATGGGTGAAAGGCTTGAAAAGGGTCCTATAGGAAGGAAGGAGACAGCAACACATCAACAATGTTGTAAAGCAACATTGTACAGAAAGAGATCATAATAACACAGTCTTGATTCGTTTTTCACGGTTAATTGGACTCCCCCCGCGAAAAGTGAAAACCCGCATGCATACACACATACATACACCGGTCCGGAAAGATTATATTGCGATTTTATTTATGTTGTAATGGAGCCTATATCTTCCAATCAGGAATGTACATTATCACCCTCACCCCCATAATTGATTAATTTCCGACCGTGAATATATGTGTGTTACTTTTTACACGGTACATGGTGATAGAAGCTATACATTGGCTACTCTACAATGTAAGTGTCATTTCTTCAGAGTTGAAGAAAAGATGTAATAAAATATAAATAAAACTTTAAAGGGTGTAGTCACTGATGGTGTAGTGCTACACTCGCCTGTGTGGGTGTGCGTCTCCATATGTGCCCGACTGACTGGCGACCGTTTCGGGGTGTAATCGGCCTTTCACCCGAAGTCAGCTCCAGCAGCGCAAATCCCAATAAGCGGTGTTGAAAAGTGATGGATGGATGTATAGATGGATCTAATGGGAGTACTGTATTCACTTTTCGCGACACTGTATGTTTGTCGAGATCCTCCACAACAGTGTGTGTGAGACAATCTTGCAGAGGCTGAACACTTCATATCCCTGTCTGCAGCTCGCAACTCACACAGAGATGATAAATCAAATTTACAGCAGCCAGCAGGTTATTGTAGGGTTTCTCTAATATGCTGCCCATTTCGCTAAGCCTTTCTGTCAGAAACATGACATGTGCCCTTCCAAACTCTGACCTCATCACTGGGTCTGCTGTCAAAAGGGATTTAGCTTTAAAAAATGAAAAAAAAGAAATTGCAAGTCAGTTTCTTCCTAATGCATATGACACCATTTTTGTCAGTTTGTACCCCTCTACCGTTTCCCCATTGATACCCGTATGGTAAACCAGAACCCCCAGGCCCCCGGCTCCATCTGCAGCTCTCATTTGAGCTTGAGTGCTTTAACTGTCATGGAGCAATGCACAGGGATGTAAAAACCACACGGGCTGATTGGTAATGATCTCCCTGGCTCGTTTCCCGTATTGCTTTTTAGAGTACAGCCTTTCTCTTGCCCCCCCCCCCCCCCACAGGATTTAATTAAGATATTGCCTTAACGTGTTCTGGGATGAAGAACTTCACTTGTCTGATTCAGCATTCTGAGCATCTTATTTTTGTTCTTAAACAATCATGCAACGATCCAGCATGCAGAAATCATATCGTAGTTCCTGATGAAATACAGATCTGTGCAAAAGCCCCCATCAAAGTTGTTATTTTAGCAATGCAATAGGAATCGAATATAACGACAGAAGGCCACTAAGTAGACCAGTAGTAGTTCCAATTTTTTTTCGTCTGGTGTGTACCCCTGAACCTTTTCGTCATACCCCATCACTCAAGACAGTTTGATGATTCCCCAAAAGGAGAATGTAACACAACTGATTATCATGTGAATATAATTTTATTTCATCGCCTTAATTTCAACATTTAATTCACAGGCATGATCTCCTTTTCAACTTGAATTAAATAAAAAGAAAATATGTTGCCTTGAAAATATATGAATAATACAAAATTAAAAAAATATAACAGCAAAATAAATAATAAATATGCCACAAAACTATAAAAGATTTATTGACTGGCTGACTGGGAGATTTTACTTATAATTTTGGAAATAAACCAATGAATGTTTCCACGTACTCCCTAGTTGTGAAACACTGCAGTTGAGAGCACAAACCTCCACCAACGTTGACCTATGAATGAAAATGAAAGCTATTCCAAGAACTTTGGATTTGGGCTTGTTTATCCAGTTTGTTACATAGCAGCCGACTTCCTGGTTAATGGAGGATGAAGAAACACCGGGGGTGCTAATATGACTCTGGAAGTCAAACGGTTCCATTGGTACCATTTTGACTCACATGGTGGAAAGAAATGCAACCTTGTCCAGATCATCACCAAAAGGTATTTAAAAATAACTACGTTGAACTGTGACTGCTTTTAATATTTTAAGTCCTATTTACTGTGGTGTCATTATAAAGACAAAGCCAAAAGTGACCTAAGACTTGTGCATGATACGGCATCTATGAGAAGTGGAATATACTCCATTCGGAACACACCGACATTAAAGCAGAACAGACTGGACTGGACTGGACTTAGCTTTGTTCCATTGTGTTAACCAGTTGCAAATTTTAATACAGTACAGGAATTAATTCAGGCAATAATATGGTGAAACAGTGTGATCGACTGGTGAGCATGTCCGCCTCACAGTGCAGAGGTCGTGTCTTCGAATCTGGGTCCTGGCCTTCCTGTGTTTTTTTTTTTTTTTTTCAAAAAAAGGTAAATGCATGTTGGGCTGCCCCCTACCCTTTTTTGGAAAATATTTAAATGTTCATCGTCAAGTGTTAACCCCTTTCCCAATTTCAGGTCCAATGATGCCTATTTGCCGAGCCTGTGGACAATATTTGTATTTGATGTGAGCTGGAAACCAAAATTCGAGGTCGAATCTTTCCTATGCATGTAATTTATTTAGTGGTTGCGGGGACAACAAACGCTACTACCTTTTTTCTTTTTTTTTTTGCGACTGTACGAGCGCTAGCCCCACATAGGATACACGTTCAGATTTGAGCTCCGCGAGCGTAGTTCCGCTTATCGTTACCAGGAAACAATGTAACCAATCAGAGTTGCGCGTATCGAGCTTTGCTCGAAGACAGCCCAATCACATATTCTGTTGTTGAGGAGTTGCTCGATTTCAAACGACTTAGCAAGCGTGCATCAACCGACTGGTTAACCCGGAGGTAAAGCTAAGAAATATTCTCTTTTCCTTTGTAAATATTGATTCACCATATTGAAAGCGCAATTAATTTTATTCCCAATTAAATTTATTTCCCTCTCTCCGGGTACGTTGCGTTGCCGAAACTTAAAAGCGCGTCTGCGAAAGAACAAACATCACAGATTTGTGACACTTTCAAGAAAACTAATTAATGAGCGTTCATTCCACTTTGTGTTAAGTTTTGGTACTTTCAGTCATCTTATTTTGTCGTGACTTTTACTTGTTGGTTTAATACATCATAGCCATTTTGATCCTAACGCGTTGAGGGTTTCTTCCTGCTGCTCTAATTTCCACCACGTCGTGATTTACAGCGCGGTACTGTATGTTAGACAGAATATTGAATCGGAGACTTTAAATCTAAGATTAAATTGTATGATTCTTTTAAATTATACAAAGATGAATGCTATTTATGACATAGGCTCAACAGAATAACAAACTTATCTTCCTCCTGCAGCTCACGTCCCTGTTCAGATGTCTTCAGATGAAGAGGCCAGCGTCCCAGTGTTGCCGACAGAATCAACATATCGTAGCAACTCTGCCTGCACTGAACTTCATGTAAAACGACTGTTCTTATAATATGTTTAAATGAAGGACAGTTTACATTGCAGTTGCCATGAAAACAAATCCAACACTGAAATAGGAATGGTTGTCTCTTCTGTTCTGTGCTTTAATAGGATGAATATGAGGAGCTCCTCCAAAGTGCAGTGGCTTCGCCAAGATTTGAGGCTGCTGCTGTTGCTGGCCTGGTGGGGAGAGACGTCTCACGTTTGTCTTCAGAGGATCACAATTCACAGATCAATTTACTAGTAGCAGGTATTGCATAGTAGTCTTTCACCCACCAGCATGAGTTTCACTCATTGGGCTTTTACCTATTGCGAAGGAGCATTTGCATTTAACTATTCTGTTTGTGTTTGATTTGGCTGCTAGAGAAGACCAGGAAGACTACCACCAGAGGTTTGGAAAGCTCAGACAGGTTACAGGATGCATCTGAGAGTGTGCAGCCGAATGACCAAGGGTTCACTGGGTACACTGAAGTGGAGCTTTTCATCTCAGACGAGAATATTAGCAAAATGGAGAACATTCTAGACACGTGGACCCAAAAATTGAAGGTCAGTTTTGTGACATGGTTTGCTCCTTTTTTCTTATTATTCTTCCTGATGTTACAAAATGGGCCCAAGAATGGCATCGCAATAAGGAATTGCATTGTTGTAATGCATTCATACAATTTGTGAAGGTCATTTCATAAGTGATTGTTTAGCGATTGTTTTTTTTTTTTCAGTGGAATTTTCAAAGTCAACTTTCCTTTTCAAAGCTGTTTTCGCCCCCACCCTCATACAAAGTTATGTAAAGTAAATTAGTTTAAGGCTTAAATGTTTGCCATCACAAAGTCTTAAGATAATAGCAAAGGAATGTTGACACATTAACTGTCATGGCAAGAGGAGTTAAAAAAACTGTGTAGTTGAAAATAAAAAAATCCTTCTTTCACACCTGAAGTAATGGAGAGGAGACGAGAAGCTATGTATTATTTATATGAGCATCTGTTATGTCAAATTTAATTATGTAAGTCATTTGATATTAAAAATATATGGTATTATTTATATGGTATTATTCATAGAGCCGGGATGAGCAACTGGCGGGTGGGCCTCATGTGGCCCGTGACCACACTCTGAGTGGCCCCGTGATTAATTGTCGAAACTAAAAATCTTTTAAAAGTATTTTTTTCCCCTTTAAAATTTATATATATATATATATATATATATACATTTTCCGCGGGAAATGGTGGACAAAATATTGGAAAAAGAAGTCTGGGAATATGCAAATCCACAGGTGCTGAACTCCGAATATGCAAGGGTCGACGAGTTTTAAGTTGTAATATCACAAAGCACTACTAGATGGCAGATGCTTATTACTTACTGCCCAACAGTGTCGTGAAAAAGTATGGGTAATGGATCATTTATACATGACTTGAAGTATGTCATCAGAATGAAATACACTAAAAGCACACATTTTACATGTATTTTGTCCATATTCAAAATAAAATTTTTGTCATACATCTGGTCAGGAAGGGCGTAGTTGTATGTGGCCCCCAAGTTGCACTGATGAGAACTTGTGGATCCCTCCAGCAATTAACTTGGCCATCCATCCCTGTTATAGAGAGTACACCCTGTACTGGTTGACATTCAATCAAAGTGCGGTTAGTGTACATACTGTATAGATAAACCATCATCCACACTCACATTCACATCCATGGGTAATTAAGAGAAAACCAGAGCAGCTGGAGAAAAGAAAAACACAATTAGTGGGAGAACATGAAAACTCCACACAGAACAGTATGAGCCAAGCTTTATATCCGGAATCATTTTGAATACAACGCAGACAATCTTATTCTTCGGTATACAATCTTAGGAAGGTTTAACTTAAGAGGATCAGTGGCACTGTATCTTACCAGGGTTAGGCCTGTGAACCCTCATGAGCTGTGCCACCTTTAAGGTTACAAATGTATCAATCATATCATATAGATCACTATGACCTTGATGACTGAGGATCTACAGATAAATCTATTTTATTTCGTCTTCATCCATGTAGGAAACGATCCTTCCAACAAAGCCCACTCATGCATGAAATAATCTATCAGGCAAGACTTGAAGTATGCCTGATTCACTGGAAGATTACCAAAGACACTCTAGTGTAGCCGTTGACAGAATGTTCTTAAACATGTACATACTCATGCCTCCCGTTCTGCGTCAATCAGACCAATGTGCTGAGGGAGCTGAGGAAGTGGAGGGTGGCCTTCGTAGATCAACACAGGCGAGAGATGCAGAGGGAGAGGGAGATTCATTTAGGCCAGAATGAGGCCTTGAAGACTGAGCTGGACAGCCTGAAGGAACTGCTACACACGTATGAGACTTCCAACAAGAGAAAGGATGAGGTGACCACACTGAGCGCTGTGTATGATAACCCGTCTACCATAATGCCCTCTTTTTTTGCAGACCTGCATCCTTTTCTTCATTTGTATGATAAAGATGAAGAGCAACACGTTTGCTTGGGCTTATTGTTCAGTACTGTCTCCTCCTCCAGATGATTAGAAATCTGAGCGTGGTGTTGAGCAGACAAAAACAGAAGCTTGAAAAGATGAGAGCCTTCACCCAATGGAGACTTCAGTACAGCGAGGCCAAAGAAGAGGTAACGTGACTTACTCTATGTCACCATGACTTTAAATTTCTAGTTTTTTTTGTCCACAGCATTCACTAACCAACTGGCTCATTTTTTTGTGTACCAATCAGTTTCAACTGGAAAATTTCACTGAACAAAAATGGGGCCAAAACTGGTTTCCTCTCCTTCAATCCCGTCCATGTTCATGACTTTTGTTGATGAGTTGAAACAAATTAATATAGCCCGACTACACTCATTATGTTTTCATCCATGAACTGTCAGGGCCGAAATATGGAAATGTGTCTTCTGACTGGGAATAACACGAGAGTTGTCTTGATATATTAATGAATAAATATTCACCATTGTCTTAGTTTTCTTATCTTGAAAAATATCTCTTCATGGTCAAAAGTTTCAGTGTTGTATCTGCTCAATTCATTTCTGACTTCCCTGTGAGACTTAAATGTGGGTATGAAAAGTTGGGTTCAGTTTGAAATGTATCCCTCTTCAAAGTGGTAACACTCTGAAGTCACGGAAATTGAAACAGTCCATATTAAAGCGCTTCACGATGATGGACGGTCTATTCTCATTTTTGTGACGGGCTCTACTAAATTTGTAAAGCACCGTTCATTCCTCAAAATTACATTTACTTAATCCATATTTAATACCGAGTAGATTTAAATACTGTACAGTAAAATCAATCAGAATAATGTTGGTAGTATTTGTTTCAGTGACTCAATGCACTCCGTTAGATAAGGTTCTGCTGCGCCGAAAGAATGAAATATGGTTGTGATGAAAGTTTTGAATCATTTGTTTGCGGTCCTGTGATTTCCTTTTCAGGCCCACGCTTGCCAGATAGCGCGGCAACACTTCCATTTGCGTCTGAAAAGGAAGGCGTTGTTGGCATGGCACTCCCTCACCCAGAAAGAGTGGAAGGACAGGATGGAGCAGGCGTGCCGCGCAAAGGCTGAAGAGGTGTGCACCCACCTCTCGGAAAATTACGAGGCGCAGATTCAGACGGTAGGTATGGGCCCTCGACAGTAGTACTTTGGCGAAGGTGACATTTTGAAAAGTTCTGTTGAGTCAATCTTGTATCTCTGAAGTACTTTAGATTGTCTTTTAAATGAATAAATTGCACTTGACAAATGTCGAGGTAGACCTGGAGCAAAAAAAAAAAAAGCTATTTTGTACTGCTACTTAAAGTGCACATCATGATCACGATGATAAGGATCTTAACAATACGTCACGTTGTCACATTGGTCTATCCAGATAACTGAAACCATTCTGCCTTGTTTTAGATGATTTCAGAACACAACGAGGCTCTCGAGAAGTCACAAGCCGAGATTGAGAGACTGCAACTTGAGCGAGAACGCCGAGAAGTGTGTATGAGGAAAGCCCTGATGAGGGGCGTGTGCGCTCTCAACATGGAGACACTGCACTTGTTTAATCCCACAGACGGAGAGCCCCAAGACCCGGGTGAATATGGTATGCTATGACAGTATTGGCTGTACATTGCAAAGAATAAGAAAATGCAGCAGATGGCCAGTAGGATGTATTGTAGTGCAGTTCTTTTTGTTTTTGGCTGTAGGATGCATTAATTGTTTTCATTAATAAAATGTGTTTCAGTCTAATTCCCACAAAGCAACACTGTACTGCATTGTATAGTAAATGGCTACTTTGCTCACTAACAGACCCCAACTCACCTCCTGATGATGATCCTGATGGTTCTGAATTGGCTCAGGTCCAGCCACGTCCTGCCCGCAGCCCGGCACATTTTGACCGCGCAAGATCTCCTCCGCACCATGAAGACAGCGGCAACAGGGTAAGGCACCAGAGGTTTTGAAGGAAACAATGGCATTGTTTCAGCAATCTGTCCCAAGATACGGCAACCCAAGTGGAAATGCAACCATGTTTTTGCTTCAGTTTTAGATGAATTAAATGCTTGCGAATTAGGACCTTAAAACTTTTATCTGTATCATCGTTTGTGTTGATGAGACATAGCTTATCGACTTATGGAAAAGGAGATTAGAAAAAAATGCCACTGTTATTTGCTCTGTGGGAAATTAACACGTTAAAAGTTTGGCCTACTTACAACCGAATATGTTTAGTATTGATTGATATGCCATCGCTGCCTTATTCTACCTGCATTTCTTTTCCTCAGATGGGTTTTGGAGCACCAAGATCTCATACTGAATTTCCACCTGCCACTTCAGCTGCACACACTGCAGCTGGGCACGCTGCAGCCAAGGTTGCTGCAGGTAGGCACCC